TCATGTCCATTCTCAAAAAAGAAACAAAACCCTCTTTTTCCTTCAGCAGAGCTCAGCTCCAGCCAAGGCACACGGTGAGAGAGCAAAGGAATGCCAAAGAGAAGGTGGAAGGCTTTCCTGGAGATACCTCAACTAGAGAAAGMTGTAATGTATAACACAAATAATTCTTTAAAATTAATTATTTAATTCTTCAGTAAGTCCTGCTGCGAGGATTCTGGACCAGACACCACCGAGCTTTTCCAGGCAAAATGTGCATGCCACTGACCTGAGGAGAGTCCATCAGTTCCAGCTGGAAATTTGGGCACTGGGAGCACAGAAAGTGCTCGTGACCTGGCTATAAACAACAAAGGACTGAGGATGTTTTGTCCCTCTCATGTGCTCCTCCCTCCCCGGCTCACATGAACCCTTCAGAGCCTGGATCAGGCTGCTCTGTGCTCTCCTGCCGATTTTGAATCATGGGATGGAGGTGAAAGGGTTTGTTCAGGAGAGTAAAACAGCCCCAACTTTTATATCTTGAGGCAGAATATCCTGCCAAGTAATGCCATTCCTCTGAATTTAGCTGGAAAATCAAGGAAAGGCAGGATTTTGAGCAGGTGACCCCAGCTCTTCACCCTCTCCTTTCTCCCTGTGAGTATTTCAAGGAACTGGAGTTACAAAGTGCACAAAGTGGAAATTCAACAAGCCCCATCAACTCTGATTTTTAAGGATATTCATTTCTCCATCAACATTAGGCTCTGTGGTAAAAGCCACTTTATGAGCTCAGCTAATCTGATGCTGTTGCATCATCACCTGATGTTGATAAACAATTATTAAAGAGGAAAAAATTGAATTAAAAAAAAAGAGGCAAACAAATGCATGTTTCTCCTCCGGCCTGGGGTGGTTTTCAGTGCCATTCTCAGTGAAAAAGGGGAAGAAGGGGCTCTGTGGTTTTGGTATGGGCTGCTGTGGTCCCAAGGCATGTTCTCTGGCCCAAATCCAGGGGTGTAACCCAGCCACTTCCACASTCATGAACTTCTCACCTTCCCAAACACCAAAGCCACACCTGACCCACCCTGGAGGTTTGGTTTCTGTGCCAAACTCTGAATCCTGTGGATCAACAGCAGCTGGCTGAGGTCACCTTTGGGTGGTTCCAGCCTGGACAAGTGAGTGACCAGGAGCAGCCCCTCATGGCCAGTGAGCAGGGCCCCAAACCTGAGCTGTGCATCCTCTGCCCCGTGGCTGGGGGAGGATTGGAAATCCCACTTTTACACTTTTTTTTAATTTTTCAGTAACAAATAAACCCCATGAACCACACGGGAGGGTTTTTACTCCAGCAGGTACGACGGAGCTGTTGAAGTGACAGGAACTTCCCTCCCCACTTTTAGTGGGAATGATACAAACCAGCAGAGCACAAAAACATCCAAAACATCCTTTCTCAAAGCAGATTTTTCTGTCCAAGGAGAGATTTCACAAGGATGTCTTCRGCACGGGGGAATTCACGGCAAAACAACGAAGCGACGCAAGAGACGCGCGAGCGTTTTCTCTTCTCCGAGCGTGGAAAAGCACCGGGAGATTTCTCAAATTAGAGCTGCTTATGTTGAACATCTCAAAGGGGAAGGGAGAGAGGAAATGCTTTCTCTGTGCAGCTCTCCAGCAGCAGCTCCTGATTGTACTCGGTGGGAAACACGGAGCGCTGTCAGCACCTTCCCTCCCACCGAGCTGCAGGCACGGGGGAAGATCAGCAATTTGCAGGATTTGGGTCCTTGCTTTTGTTCCCCTTCCCTCTCCTCCCTCTGACAAGCACAGAAAGAAAGGAAAAGTTCAGGAGAATGCAGCAATTAAGGAATTTGAAGCCTCGCTAGCAGCTACTCGAAATGCAGGCCCGTGAAGCAGCAGGATTCTGCTGGTGACATTTGGACCACAAATGAAGTCCCCAAGAGTAATAAACAATCAGGTAAAGAAATCTGGAAAGAAATTACCCAGCACACCTCGTCTTCCTGGCCCCCACGAGATCCATATAAAATGTGTTAATGCATCTGATTATGATCTAAATTATGTGCAGAGGCTCCTGCCAAGCACTCTGTGAAGTTTCTTTATTGTTAAGTTGGAAGCTGTTTAAGAACGGTCCAGTCATCATGTTTCAAATTAGATTTGGGGAAAAAAACATTTTCCTACTTTAYTGCTGGCTCAGAACACGGGAGAAGGTTGGGATGTGGGTTTTGTCTGCTGAAAAAAGAGCAGGAAAAGCAGGGACAGAACAGAAGAAGAGCCAATCTGTCACCTGAGCTGTGTGGCTTTACTGTACCCACACACGGCAGAGAATTCCTGCAGCTTCAGACACCTTTCTACACTTATTTTTTTTTTTGAAAAGTGGGTAGAAACACCAAGATGATCCCATGCACAGATTGCCTGGGCCCAAAAACTTCAAAAGAAAGGATTTCTGGAAGAAACTGCTGAGAAAGGTTGGCAAAACACCACGTGAGATTTTCCCCATGCCTGTGAGGGGTTACCTGAGCTGTCACTCGTGCTGCCTGCAGGCTGGCAAAAAAACTGTTTTTCTCCCCAGAATGCCATACCAGGACTGGAGCTTTTTTAAAAAATAGAAATATAGAATAGAAACAGAAAAATACAGACAGCACCCATAGTTTGACCTGCAAGCCTGACAATATCCTGTGTGGTAAAACCTCCACCAGCCCAACCGGTGCTTTCCCTTCTGCTGCAGGGATCAGCCCTTCCCMCTGCAGGGCTGGATTTTTAAAAGCAGCTCAGAGGGGCTGGATTTTAAAAGGAGGGTCCCTAAATCTGTTAAAAGTCTTCCATCCATTCCTCCTGCCTTTCCAAAATCACACTGCAGCCACAACAGCATAAATCCAGACTAAGTGTGGTCCAGTGGAAGTGAAATAGGATAGAAGTAGCTCTTACAGGTTTATTTTGCTCTGTACATTAATATTAATCACACACACAAAAATATGTGCCAGATATGTGTCTGCACCTCATTGAATCATGAAATGGTTTGGGCTTAATAAAATCCATCTCATTCCATGGGCAAGGACACCTTTYACTATCCCAGGTTGCTCCAAGCCCCATCCCAACCTGACCATGGACACTCCCAAGGATGRAGMAGCCACCCCAAGTCCACTCTTWAAATAAAGAATTTCTYCTTAATATCTCWTCTAACCTCCAAGTGGGGATAAGAACTCCCATTTCCAGCCACTGTGGAAATGTAGTGGTTTAAACACCCCAAAAAAGCTTTAATGTAGGATCACAGGCTGGATCCAAGCCAGGCAGCAGCACTGCTTTTAAAGGAGTATTTATCTCCATAAAACACTTCCCAAACAAAGTGTTCAGTACTTGGAAATAAAGCCTTGCTAAACAACCAGATTTTAACCCAGAATTCTGCATGTTAGCATTCTCTGCTGCTCCAGGTAAGTCTGATTCCCTCGCACAGCATGGTGATTTTCTCTCTTTTTAAGAAAAAAAGGAATTTTCTCKTTCACTTTAACTTTGAGGAAAGATGGAAGACCACAACCCAGCCTCAAAGACAGGAGATCTTTTGAACTCCAAGTCAGCAGGCTCTCACAGGAGCTGAGCTCGAGGGCTGCTCTGGAATAAATCAAAAAGGATTTACTCTTTCACTTGAACAAGACAGGGAAAGAAAAAACCTCCACAGGTGCGGGATTGGGGGTGGGGAGACAGGTAACAGCTTTAAAAAAAAATTATTAAAAAGGCAACATAAGAAATCCATGATGGTTTGATAGTCACGGTCCCATAAGCTCAACACTACCGTGCATGGCTRCATTTCCTGGAGGAAATCACAGTTGCTAAGCTTGTTGGAAGCAGTTCAGCCCAAGAATTTATGGATCAGATGCTGCAAACACAAATCCCGAGGACACGGGAGAAATCCAGGACAGAGTCTGAGCAGGGGTTTGAACTGCCCATGTGRCACTGGAGATGCAGCTATGATTCCTCAGATTAGCAGAGTTCAAGGCCAAAAAGGACCTTGAGAGCACCTAAACTGTGCTGTATCACATTTCAGCCAGGTTTTCCTACGAGCAGAAATTCGATTTAGCAGCCAGATTCCAACCTGAATAATTGTGGTGGTCCCCGGTCACAATCCACGTGCTGCTTCCCAAACTTGGGCTGACAGAGGAGCTCTGTGTGGGATGCACAAAGTGTCCCTGTGCCAGCAAAAAAMCAATCCTAGGAACAGGCAGCAGTGACTTTGTGCTCCAGCCCCTTTGATTCACTCCTGACACCTTTACTGGAGYCCAAACCCATCAGCAGTTCTGACAATACTCCAGAGCCTGAGCGTGCCTGAAGGAGCTCAGCCCACAGCACAAAATCTCATCCTCTGGCTTCCTTACAGGAGTGAGAAGAAAGCTGGAGAAGGAGAAATGTGCTGCTGGCAGCAATTCCAGCCTCTGCAGCGAGGTTGGAAGGTTCCCAGGCAGCCACACACCCCCACGAGAGCTGTGATCAGCACCCATGRAGCAATCTCACACCTCGATTACAAAGAGTTTGAGGACGAGAATGTGCCCAGAGAATGATGCTGAAGAAGAAAAATGTTCAGAGCTCAACTTTTCCCTGAGTTGTGTGCGGGGATTTGGATCCCAAGGCACCCAGACACTGAGCTCAGACCATCAGTGACATTCAACGCTGCTCTAAAATCAGGATTTAAAACTGCTGAAAACCAGGCTATTGTGAAATGCTGCTTCTCCGCCTGCAGTTCTTGCCAAATTACTTTGGCTACAACTTTCAGCAATTAATGGATGATTAAATGAAAGAGCTGATGGCCAAAAAATATCTAAGGGGCTTGATTAAAGCTCTGTGACACTGGGCTGGTCCTGCCCTATTTTTACAAGCTTTCTCATCTCACTGTTCCTTTAACTGGACCGTGGGGAGGAGGAGAGTGTTGCTACAAGGGTGGGAGATGTTTTGGTAAATTGTGTTAAAATCCAGCAAGGGAAGAAGCAATTTAAACCCAGGGCAGCCTGACACTGCAGGGCTGTGCTGTGCTTTACCTGCTGTGCCTCGGCTCCTCRGCTCAGAGCTGTCCCACATCCCACATGGACTCCTTCAGCACTTCCCTTCCTCCTCCCAGCGCTGAGCTCAAGGGTTTCCCTCCTGTTCAACAGAAAAACACAGACAAAACCACATGGAATTAACAAATAAGTTATGCATGGCCTCGAGGCATCGTGCAAGAGAGGCACTGTGGCACAAACATTCCTTCTGGAACAGCCCAAAAGACGATTGAGCAACCTGGGAGAGTGGCTCCCTTCCTTCCCAAACATTCTGGGATTCTGTGATTTATGACATTTATGACAATCTATTATTTATGCCATGGTGTTAAACCTGAAAGCTCCCACAGGTTTGACAATCTGGACTGCAGGGAAGTCAGGGAGGCTGAAGGAGGAGCCTCTCACAAATGAGATCCCCTGGAGAAGAGAAATGGCAAATCTAAAAGGCATGAGACATTGAAGGAGGAGTTAGGCACGAAAGAGATCCCCTGGACAAGAGATATGGCAAATCTAAAAGGGATGAGACACTGAAGGAGGAGTTAGGCACAAATGAGACCACCTGGAGAAGGGATATGGCAAATCTGAAAGGGATGAGACACTGAAGGAGGAGTTAGGCATGAATGAGAGCACCCAGAGAAGGGATATGGCAAATCTAANTGCCATGGTGTTAAACCTGAAAGCTCCCACAGGTTTGACAATCTGGACTGCAGGGAAGTCAGGGAGGCTGAAGGAGGAGCCTCTCACAAATGAGATCCCCTGGAGAAGAGAAATGGCAAATCTAAAAGGCATGAGACATTGAAGGAGGAGTTAGGCACGAAAGAGATCCCCTGGACAAGAGATATGGCAAATCTGAAAGGGATGAGAAATAAATGAGGAGTTAGGCACAAATGAGACCACCTGGAGAAGGGATATGGCAAATCTAAAAGGATAAGACACTGAAGGAGGAGTTGGGCACAAATTACACCAGCTGGAGAAGAGATATGGCAAATCTAAAAGGGAGGAGGTACCAAAGGAGGAGTTAGGCACAAATGAGACCACCTGGAGAAGGGATATGGCAAATCTGAAAGGCATGAGACACTGAACGAGGAGTCAGGCACGAATGAGATCCCCTGGAGAAGAGATATGGCAAATCTAAAAGGGATGAGACACTGAAGGAGGAGTTAGGCACAAATGAGATCCCCTGGAGAAGGGATGTGGCAAATCTGAAAGGGCTGAGACAATAATGGAGAAGGAGTTAGGCACAAATTACACCACCTGAAGAAGGGATATGGCAAATCTAAAAGGGAGGAGGCAGCAAAGGAGGAGTTAGGCACAAATAAGATCCTCTGGAGAAGGAATATGTCAAATCTAAAAGGGATAACACACTGAAGGAGGAGTCAGGCACAAATGAGACTCCCTGGAGAAAGGATACAGCAAATCTGAAAGGGATGAGACACTGAAGGAGGAGGAGTTAGGCACAAATGGGACCACCTGGAGAAGGGATATGGCAAATCTGAAAGGGATGAGAAATAAATGAGGAGTTAGGCACAAATGAGACCACCTGGAGAAGGGATATGGCAAATCTGAAAGGGATGAGATGTGGGTCACCAGTTCCAAACCCGCTCCCAGGCAGCTCAGCTCCCTTTGCACAAAATACTTCCTCTACACACCTGATAACTGACAGTTCCCAGGTTATACTCATGCGATCATTTCCCACAAAAATATGAAATAAATCATGATCCACATTGTTCCCTAAGTGCCAAGGTCCACGAGGAGCACTGGAAGCCACCCAGCCCAACCTGTGCCRTGACACACCACGAGTTCCACCCCAGCAAACCCAGGGATTCTCCACCYAGCATTTTCCCCAGCTCAAATCCACTCTCAGCCACACTTCTGCTGCAAACAACCGCCTGATCTCAGCAGACAAACAGATCAAAAAATTTCAAGRAAAATACAATACCTTTTGTTAAGAAAAGCCCAAGGCTCCAGGATTATCCTTCAGCCAGCACCGCCTCGGCCGTCAGCGGCGCTTCCCTTTGTTTTTGAATAAAAAAAAAATCCCCATCCTGCCTTCATCCTCCTCCACAGCCTCTGGGACAGCAGAGCATCCCAGGCTCTCTCTTCCCACCCCGCTTCTCACTAATTTGTTCCATATTCGCAGCCTCTGCCCAGCCCCRGCTCTGCCGCCGCTCCCGGCAGGGAGTCAGGGCTGCTCCTCGGAGCTTGGCGCTGCTTTTAAAGGCTGCCTCCATCCCCTTCCCTTCAGCTGGCAAAACACTTCCTGAGTGCCCACATCTTCGGGATGTAAAGATGGAAAAACACATCGTGATGGTGGCTCCTCTCTTCTCCTGGCATGCTGCGGGTCCTGGCACGTTTCCACCCGCACAAAGCTACGAAATGTTTGCAGAAACAAAAACAGCACGACCTTTCTACCCCTCCTTCCTTCCCTTCTACTCCTCCTTCCTTCCCTGATTGCAAAGTTCTGTCCCAGAGTTGTCCAGAAATCACGAGTGAAGATGTTACTCAGCTGCCACAGCAAAGGGTTTCATTTCAACGTGACCTGCAAAATAACCACTTCAAACCTCACCCACGCTGCACGAACTCAGCATCTGCACGCAGCCTCTTCCAGGKCTGGAAATGGTTTATGGCAAGCTTGGAATGCTGACAGTTCACAAAACAAAAATCTGCCTTTTTTTTTTTTTCCCCAAAGTCCCTGAAATTTCAGCCACTTGGGGCAAGGGAGCCAAGGAATCGGAAGTATCTGGAAATGGGATGCCCAAATTTGAATGAAGCGCTTTCCTGAGAATCCCAGAATGGTTTGGGGTGGAGGGAACCTCAAGGATCATCTCATTCCAGCCCTCTGCCAAGAAAACTCAAAGTTTTTTTTTTAAAAAAAAGCCTAATTCTAAGCTCTAGGAAACCTCAGGCTGTTCATGGATAAATGCTACTTTACTATTAAAGTGAAGCCCCTTCTCTAATGAAAACCACATAACTGACATGATGTAAATATTCCAGCATATATTAATATTTTACTCTGATACTCTTATGGCAAGCTTGGAATGCTGACAGTTCAATAAACAAAAATCTGCCTTTTTTTTTTTCCCCAAAGTCCCTGAAAGTTCAGCCACTTGGGGCAAAGGAGCCAAGGAATCGGAAGTATCTGGAAATGGGATGCCCAAATGTGAATGAAGCACTCTCCTGAAAATCCCAAAATGGTTTGGGATGGAAGGAACCTCAAGGATCATCTCATTCCAGCCCCCTGCCAAGAAAACTCATTTTTTTTTTAAAAAAGGCCTAATTCTAAGCTCTGGAAAACCACAAGCTGTTCATAGGATAAATGCCACTTTACGATTAAAGTGAAACCCCTTCTCTAATAAAAACCACATAACTTACATGTAAATATTCCAGCATATATTAATATTTTACTCTGATCACAGCAATAACAGCAGGCCCACCCAAAAAAAAAAAAAAGTGATTTCTCCCTACCCTCCACCAGAGAAGAGGTAGCAAACAGCTGTTATAACTTCATTTTATATTTTATT